CCAGCTACTCATCCATCATTGGCATTATCGCATCATAATATAGCTATATCTCTTTTTTCGTTAGGTCGATCGGACGAAGCATTAAATCATACTCATAAAGCAATTGAAATAGCATCACAAACTTTACCTGATGATCAGCCACAAATAATTGCTCATCGAGAACTTCTCAATGCAATTCAAAAGAAGAAAGCAATGAAAGACTATGTTTCTCTTCTTCAGATAATTGAAAATGAAGATCAATGACATTCATACTCTTAAAATAGTTTGATGCTATTTTTTATATATATATACGTGATTTTTCTGGAGATTGTATGATAAGATGCTGTCGATATTTTCTATATGATCGTTGTTATTTAATCGATTTACTTCGGGCAATAAGAATACTAAGGATGGGTGTGGATATAGGTGCCAGTTAAAGGTCAGACCCACACCCTAGTTTTCGGTTTTTGTTACAACATAAAAATATCTTGAGAGTGTGGGAATAATAAGGACAGTTCTCATACTATCATTCTCTACCCCTTCGCTAGGAGCTCTATTTTTCTACATAAAGAATCTAATACACATCATGTAGACATTAATACGAGACGGAAAATAGTCGACGATCGAAAGCCAGTGTAAAATCTAGTATTAATGTCCTCGTTGCAATATTATTCAATACATATAGTTGTGTATTAAACAGTTTTTACTCATGTAATGATAATTTTTCAAATAAATTTGTCGGATCATTAAAATCCAAGTCAGTTTGAGTTGAGATAGAAAATGATGAACAGGTTGATTGAACAGAAATCGTTAAATTCGTAAGTAAAGCACCACGTTTCAATCTTTTCGGATTTTTTAAAATAATATCCTTTTTTTTATTAATTTGATCAGTTATAAATGAAGATGTGTCGAAATAATTGTTATATTGAGAAAGTTACATTCGAAGTTGATAATAAAAATATATTTGATCCTAATTGAATCATTTCGCATCCTCAATTTATAAAACAACCATGAGGTCTTTGACATTAATATATTTATTTGATGTTTTTGTTTAAACTTCTCATTATCGAACTGACATGTCTCGATACTTTATAATGAATTTTAACTATCATTATTTCTCTAGTACCCACAACCGAGAACTTATATATATATGGTTCATATATAGAGCAAAAAATACTATGTCAAGTATTCTATCCATTGATGGCTGATTGATGAGCAATTCAATTGAGTTTTAAATGAATTTAATGACTATTCAAAATGCCCTGATAAAATCTCTTTTTTAACCCAGATTTCTAATTTTATCATTCATGAGCACACGCTATTTCATTATCTTAGCTCATCAGTCACGCACATACTCTATTTCATTATCTTAGCTTATCAGGCATGCATAAACTATTTTATTATCTACACGAAATCATTAACGATATAAATAAGTTATTTTTTGCGTTTATTTTCATAAACAAGAATGTCGACGGTTGCCGCTGCTTTGAATCTTTTTGTGAATTGGATAGATTATTCGTATGAAATTTTTGGTTTGATGACTATGATTTTGGGTACAGTTGGCAATATATTGATCTGTTTATTTTTTGTATGTATTCCGGCTTTGAACAAACACCCAAACTCTTTATTTATCATTGCTTCCGCAATTGGTAGTCTCTTTCATATCAATTTTGGGCTATTTCCAGCTGTTTCTCAAATATTGAGTGGCTCCAATCCAGTAAACAGATCATTATTTTTATGCAAAACAAATTTGTGGTTGACTTATTCCAGTGGTTCTTTTAGTTTCATGTGCAATTGTTTCGCAGCTCTTGGTCAATATTTGATTACACTACCACAAATTAGATGGCATCGACTAATTACGCGTATCCGAGCTCAGTTAATGATCCTGTTTACAGCACTTGCCTGGCTTTCGATCTTTTCACCATTACTTATTAATTATACACTCGTTCCTGCACCGAGTACGACTTATAGTTGCACTGCTATTACTCTGATCGTTGCTTATGGTAACTATTGGGTTCTAGTAGGATATTATTTTATGCCAATGCTTCTAATTGTCATTTTCTTTTCTCTCACTTGGTACAATCTAATGCGACTTCGAAGACGTGTTCGCAAGTTAGACGCCGCAGTAACTCGTATGATGCTCATTCAAATGAGTATTTTACTCACCAATGGTATTCCATCGTCCAGCTTTTTTGTCTATTTTTTGGCGACACTCTACGCTCCGAAAACAACTCTACAATGGATATATGAAGAACTTATTTTATATACTATCATTTTAACCACGCTCATGACCAGTGGCACTTCTTTCTGGGTGTATCTCATTGCATCTAAAGCCTTCAGAAGACATATTAAAGAATTTCTTTGCCAATGTCAAAGATTCGTAAATCGAGTAAAGCCTATTTTCATTGTAGACAGAAGAAATAATGCAGTTAGATGAAATCTTCTGTGCGAATTGTCTTTTTACATAAATGTATGTCTTTGTCTAGAATTTAAATAGTCTTATAATATATCACGTTCAATATCTTGTTTGTTTCATTTGCCGACGAGATGCATTTATTATGCATATAAAAAGCTTTAAACAGGCCTCGCAGCCGGTATACTTTCCTGTTTTTTTCCTGTTTTTTGAAAAACGTCCTGTTTTTCCTAATTTCGGCCAAAAATCCTGAATTTCTCCTGATTTTTTATAATTCATTCGCATAGTCATTGTATTTGCCTTATCATAACATAATATAATATTCTTATCTTAATTTATTTTCAAAATGCATACTAAAACATCATATATTATACAATATCTTTAACAAAAGCAATATAATTTGTAAAAATAATGTTTACTTTCATCATTCATCATTCATTTTTTCTTTTTTTTTCTCAATCGGTTTAAATTTTCACTATTATCAAGTAATTGAGCTTTCAAAACAGATAATTTAGCATTAGCAGCGGTTACAAGTAATTCAGCTGTACCAACATCATTAAAATCTTTACTATTCACAGCTGTGGCAAGTCTTGTACTTCCTTCTTCCAACATTTTCATTGCACTCACTAAATCTTGTTGTAAAATGTTTTGTTAGTTTAATAAATCAATTTCTTTTTCTTCTACATGTCCATGTAGTGATCGGTACACTATTTTCTTCTTCCTTTAAAGCGTCGTGTCTCTGATATATTTATTATTGTTTTTTTTCTTGCTCCTCTCTATGATTACATTAGAGTATCTAACATTATCCAGTCAGATTTTTTTCTCATACTCCGATGGTTTTCCATCGTCATATACTTTGGGTAATGACATCGAAAAATACTATAAAAATAGTAAATAGTAAATGCAGATACTAACTATCATCATGTGTTAATGCTCGTTGTTCTTTCTCAACAATAACAAAAGATATTCTTGTTGTATTTCTATCAATAGATCCTGTACCTAAACATGTACTATTATCATTCTTATTTTTCGATAAAAGTAATGATTGATTATTTGATGCTGTTAGTAAAGTAAAATCAAGCACATCTTTCATACATTGAATATGTTATGACCGATTAAAATGCCTCTTTAAATTAGCCCATCCTCCATTAGTACAACTAAAATTACCTGAATTGCATACGATACATTGAAATGAACTGGTAGTTTTACCTTGTTTAAGCCATCGAGAATTCACTCTACCAGTATTATCTGAGTTTTGCAACCATTTTGAACAAAACTTTATATTTGTCAGCATCAGAAAATATTTAGTCAAAGGGATACATTTTTCAAAATCAAGTCAATATAAGATAATAGTTGTCTTATATAAGCAGAGAATAAAAACACAATAAAAGTATGACAATAGAAGAGAAAGAAAAGAACTAAATAGAGCAGAACGAAAAGTATATAAACCTGAATAACACAATAAGTTTATATATGATTCATACTGTTTTAAATAACTTTAGTATTTACTTATAACAACCTATATTTTGATTGTTACAAGCTGTTATTATTGCACTTTCTTCGACGTCGATTTTACTCGAGAAAAGCAATATTAGAAGAAAGTTTACCTTTCCTGACTTTTACGAAAATTCCTCATTTAAAAAAAAAAATTTCCTGTCCTACTTCCTGACTTTGGAACACATGCCGCTGCGACCCCTGTTTAAAAAATAATAAAAAGAAACATATTGATTGATTTTACTTAATTATAAATCCAAACTATTTTTGAATGGGGAACATCCATGTACATTTTATGATCTCTTTAATTAGGTTAGTGATAGAAAGATATTTATTTAAGCATATAGAACGGCAAAAGAAAATATTTTGATGTTCATTGGTTAAATATAAGACGTTTTTAACTGTTAATCATTATTGAAAGCAACGACTGGCGTGACTTCAGTGTTTTGTGGACTATTCAAATGTAAAATGTGTTTGTACACAAGTCGGAAGATAAGTTCACCCAATTCGATCATACTCAGTACGCTCAGACCAATCCATCTAGGTATGTATAAAGAAAATATATTTACAAAACACGAGGATGAATTTACTTACAAGCCTGACTGTCCACCAATAGAGGCAAATACATCAATGAGTGACAATGTCGCTACTTGTTTGTACTCGATAACATATTTACTACCGCATTGAATTTCAACTCTTAAGTAATTCCGATCCATATAATAACTGAAATTTTGGGCAAAATCGTCAGGTAATAAGATGGTCGTGTTACTTCCATTTAATAGTGCTGCAGCCCACGTTGCCTTTTCCGTATCGGATGGAGCTGCTTGTGCACTTAAATCACTTGTGAAATCGGTATATTGACATTGCGAAGTACAATGAGAACACCAGGCGGTTTGTAATTGATCACTGGCTGCCAGTTGTTGTTTAGCAGTGAATGCACATGAAAACTCATTAGTAAGTGGATTACAGATACGGGCAGACACGAGACTACCATTGAGTGCGAGAACATTTCGTGTGAAGAATGGTATTGGAAGAATGCATGAACATTGTGAAAAGATATAGGCTAGTTCACACAACTCGTTACAGACCGACTCCGAATAGAGAATGGAATCCGACACGTTTCTATTGGTAAATGTTGTCCTGTAGAGAGCACGCAAATCGCTGCTCACGTTGGATGTGCATTGACTATATGGTGCTGGAAGAAATGTTTCTGAACTTTTACGATAAGTTATCAAATGAGATAAACCAGGCGCAAGAGCAAGACCATTCTCGATAGACAATGGAAATTCGTCGTTGTCATGTAAAACTATATTGAGACCGATCATAAAATATGGAACAGGAAAATTAGATTCACGTG